TTTTGGGGGACAATATTCTTGTTGGCCTGTCATTTTGACCCCTTATAACCTGCCTCCCTCAATATGTATGAAAAGACAATTCATGTTCCTTTTGTTGCTCGTTCCTGGTCCTAAAAACCCTAAGGGACACTTGGATGTGTACATGCAACTGTTGATAGAGGAGTTGAAACTGTTGTGGGAAGTTGGCACGGCTACTTACGATATTTCAATGAAACAAAATTTCAATCTTCGAGTAGCCATCTTATAGACCGTTAGTGACTTCCCGGCTAATGGTATGTTGTCCGGTTGGGCCACAGCTGGTAAGAAAGCTTGTCCACATTGCATAGAGAAGAGCAAAGCATTTTGGCTCGAACATGGTGGTAAAGTTTCTTGGTTTGATTGCCACCGCCAATTCCTTCCGACACATCACCCTTTTCGGACTAGTAAAACTGTATTCCGCAAAAACAAAATAAAAAAAGGTGCCCCTCCACACATCATGTCAGGAGAGGAGCTGTGGGAATGTGTGAAGAACCTTCCGAAGGCGACAGATGGGCCCGATTCACTTAAACGGCTCAAAAAGGAAAAGAAGGGGTGGTTCAAGCAAAGCACACTGTGGGAGCTCCAATTGGAATTGGAAGCATTTGCTCATTCGTCACAACTTAGATGTCATGCACATTGAAAAGAACTTCTTTGATCAATTAATTCACACTATAATGGATGTGAAAAAGCATACGTGTGACACGCCATCAGCTCGGAATGACATTGCCAGATATTGTAAATGTCCGCAGCTTCATCTTCACGAGGATGATAGAGGAAAAGAGTTCATGCCAAAGGCTCCATTCGCTCTTGACAAGGCTCAGAGAAAAGTTTTGTGTGAGTGGGTTAAATAGCTGCGGTTTCCTGATGGTTACGCCTCCAATTTGAGCAGATGCGTAGATTTGCAAGCATGTAAGCTCCACGGAATGAAAAGCCATGACTGTCACGTGTTCATGGAGAGGCTGTTGCCCACTACTTTAAGGGAATTGCTCCCTTTCCATATTTAGAATGCAATCACAGAGATCAGCCAATTCTTCGGCGACTTGTGTTGCTATACAACATCAGTTAGTGACATGGAGCGATTGGAGAAAAACATAGCTGAGATCCTTTGCAAGCTTGAGAAGGTCTTCCCTCCTGCATTCTTTAACTCCGTGGAGCGTTTACCTATACATTTGCCATATGAGGGGAAGTTATGTGGTCCTGTTCAATACAGATGGATGTATCCCTTCGAAAGGTAAATCAAAGACCCTTTCACATCCTATTCACTGGCATGACTTGTTCAAACTTTTACATAACTATAATGGCAGGTTCCTCAATCATTTGAAATGGAAAATTGGGAACAAGGCTCGAGTTGAAGGGTCCATATGCAATGCTTATCTCACTAAAGAGATAGCAAACTTCTGCTCCAATTATTTTCAGTCGACAGTTGACACTAAAACACGAGATCTCGGTCGAAATGTGAATGGCGACGTTGACTGAACATTGGACAACGCTGAAATTCCAGAGTTGTTCAAGGAGGATAGCGGTCATGTGTCAAATGAGGGTAAAACTCGATTCTTAGATGACAAAGAACTCGAGTGTGCACATTTGTCCGTGTTACGAAACACCGGCATTCTTGGCGAATACGAAAGGTATATTTGGTTTAGGTATGCAGTGTATTCATATTTATGAACAACTACAATGATTACAATGTTGATTTACATTGTGTCTTTGGACTCGTAGAAATTTTGAGGATTACATTCTTAGAGCTCGACCTTATCTGCATAGAGAAGAAGTCATGGAGAAATGCGAAGCTGAATTCTCTGATTGGTTTCATCACAAGGTGATATCCATGGTATAACCGTGACATAATTATGAATTTTACTTATTGCACTTAAATTCATTCAATTCATGAACTGTGACGTTGATAATCAAAACGTTCATAGGTGGTTGAAGGGAATCCAAATTCGGATGTCCTACGAGCGTTGTGCATGCTTCCTTTTAAGCGAGTTCAAACTTGGAGGTAGATTTTTGTCGGTGGATTTAATTTCCATACACATGTCCATGGCAAGCAGAAATCTACAATGAATTATGGTGTGTGTGTATCCAGTGAGGATGGTGGAGAGTACTTCGACATTTTAGACGACATAATCGAACTTGTCTACAATGGTCCCAAAAAAAAGTACAAGACAATTTTGTTTAAGTGTAATTTGATGGATTGTGGTAGGGGAATGAACATACATGAACAATACAAGCTTGTCGAAGTAAATCATACTAAGAAATACCCCAAGTATGATCCATTTGTCTTATCTTACCAAGTGACTCAAGTGTACTACGCATCATACCCTAGCCTGAAGCAGGACCGAGTTCAATGGTGGTCTGTGTTTAAAACACATGCAAGGTCAGTGGTTGATGCTCTGGTGGACTTAGAGTTTTTGCAAGCACCATTCCCACAAGTACATGCAACACTATGCCCACCGAATGACATTCCAGACTACGCCAGAGATGATGATGAGGAAGATGATGACGATGGCTTTATTATCTCAAGCGATGAAGATGATGAATCTAGTATCGACTCCAGTGATAGTGACGAGGATGATGACATGGATGTATTATTAGATGATAGTAGTGATAACTCTAGTAGTGATAGTAGTGATGAGATTACTGAGTAGGAGAATATGTTAATTCCTTTTAAGAATGTGCTTCTTATTGTAAAATATAAATGAATTGGTCTTATGTTAAATTTTTACTGTTTGTATAAAAGGCATATTACATTGCACTACACTTGTCATTTATAGTATCATGTCATGTTACTAACATGTATTTCAGGTGGTCATGGCCGGAAAAGAAACTGGAGAATCGTCGAGGAAAAGAAAGGCGAAAAAGAAAGCTACCGCTACTTTCATCGAAAACCATGATGAGGAAATGGTCGATGCAGAGGCACATGATTTGGGTGTCGATCAGTCGCCCCCCTCCACCCCTACCAATGACCAGTCACAGGATGAGTCAGAGCTACCGGTTTTGGACCCTACTACGCTCTGGTATGTACATATCATGATATGGAGGATCAGACACAAGAATTATGATATTATTTTCGAAATTGTAACATATTTATTACTTCTAACAAGTATATATCATGTTGCTTCTTTGTTTAAGTAGGTTTGACGATCAAAAGGTGAGGAGTGCGGTATCCGGTACGATTATTGGATACTACCGAGCCCCTTGGAGGAACTTTGGAGAAGTAGATGAAGCTAGAGAAATGCGTGTTTATATGGCTTTCTTATCAATTTACGCATTTCTTTGTTATTCTCTCGCTTTCTGCTTTGTTTAATTTGTGTTGTAGGTGTGTCGGGATTTTTCGAGGCTCAAATGTCGAGGAGGAAGCCCAACACGAGCTTTTGAAGTCAACAAAACCGAGTACGGGAATTTAGAGCGCAAGCAAATCAAGTTCGAAGTCAAAGCATAGTGACTTGGAAAAGTTGCATGGACAAGAGCGCATGCCCAAGCATTGCAGAAGAAGGATCGTGTCTGTGCTGGGCATGCACATTGTGCTCGTCCGAGCAAGCTGTCCTGCCTAAGCAACTCTTCGCACCAAGCTTCGCAACGTGCACCACAAGCCAGCATCGTGGCGCGGCACCTGCTGCCATGGCACGACATTTTCCACCGTGGCACGGCGGTCTTCTTTCTTCAGCAAAAGCCCGAGCCAAAAGAGGGTATTCTCGAGCATAAGCATTTGCTCGTCCGAGCAGATTAGTATGCTCGAGCAGCCCTATTTTGCGATTTTGCTTATTTTTCTTCTTTTTCTCTTATAACTATAAATATGTACGGACCTTCTTTTTTTTAGGGAAGACTTCATTTTATTTCCTCTTTGATATTTTTAGCTTAGGTTGAGAGTTTCTCTCTCTAGATTAGGCTAGCTTAGGAGTAGTTTTAGAGAGAGAAAGCTAGGGATTTCAATGGAGAATTGAGAGTTTGAAGAAGCACAATTATGTGGGTTCTCTTCTCATCTATTCAATGAGCATTTCTAACTTTCTCTCACCTTTATTGTTTCCTTTAATTCTTGTTTTTGCTTAATTCTTTGTTGATTAGAGTAGATAATTAGATTAATTGTTTGATTCTTGCTTTAATTATTGTTTTACCTTGTTTTCCATGTTTTTCTTCATTATGATTGCTTAGATTTTTGTTTTAGGGAAATGGATGAATGTTATGTTGATTAATTGAATGTTTGATTGTGATTAGTATGAAATTGATTCTTGATTATTGTGTGTGGATGATGTTTACATTGCTTAGAGTCTTTTTAGCTAATTGATTCTAGGTTTCTAATTGTTCTTTCAATTAATCGTGCGAAAGTGAGTTGATTGAGAGTCTAGATCCTTCCATACCTATGCTAGGCTAGTTGCACGGGAGTGAATTAGCTTACTAGGATAATTAGCATGCTTAATTGTGTGGGAGTGAGTTGAGTGTGTTGATTGTTCCTAATTGAGACCATGATCATCTGATTGCAATTTGTTGTTGAATTCATTAATGTAATTGGATTATCCTTTCCCTAGTATTTTATTGATTGCTTAAAGTAGTGTTCTAGTTGTTCCTCTCTTTACCTCACATCCTTTCTACTAGTTTAATTAGCCTAAATTAATATACTAAGTCCTTGTGGTTCGACTCCGAACTTGCCTTTATGCTTGCTTAGTGGCTAGTTAGGAATTTATAAATGTTGTTTGATTTTAGGAGGTTAGTCAACGATCTAACCCTCACCTACTTATCACGGGGTAAGCCGAAGAACCATTGAATCCAGTGATTGGGCAAGGCACTACACTTAGGTGCTTGGTCTGAAGCTTGAGGCGGTCATATGCATTCGAAAATAGGATGTTTGCCGCACTGCTGCCGTCCATGAGGGTCTGCCAAATATTTTTGGTTTGCGATCCCCGTTGTGATGACTAGTGGAGGAATAATTGACCTAGTGAGTAAGACTCCTCAGGTGACGTTTGCGAGCATTGCAGAAGTTTGTC